CTTGATCACATGGTAATTCTATGTTTAATTTTTTGAGGCACCTCCACACTGTTTTCCATAGCAGCTGTACCATTTTACCTTCCTACTGGTAATGCACAAAAAGTTCCAGTTTCTCCACATCCATGCCAACATTTGATAATAGTCATCCTAATGAGTCTATCTCATTTTAGTTTTGATTTGCATTTCCCTAATGATTTGTGATATCAAGCATTTTTTCATGTGCTTTCTGGTTATTTGCATACCTTTTTTAGAGAAATGCCTGCTTAAGTCCCTTCCCTCTTTTTACATTGGGTTGTCTTTTTGTTGTTAAGCTGCTGTAAGACCTCTTTATATGTCCTGCTGCAATTACTCAACTTTGCCATTGTAGTGTTGAAGCTCCCATAGACAATGTGTATATGATGAGAATGTCACTTTGTTTCAATAAAATTTTATTTACAAAAATAAGTGACAATCTGTGTTTGGCCTACAAGCTGTAGCATACCAAGCCCTGCTTTAGGGCAGCAGTTCTCAAACTTTTTAGTCTCAGTACACTTTAAATTCTTATTGAGGACTCCAGAAATCTTTATATATATACACATATATATACACATATATATATATTTTTTTACTATTTTAGAAATTATAGATGAAGAACTTTAAATTATTTAGTTATTCACTAAAAATAAACAATAATTAACCTATTGTGTGTTAACAACATAGATAGCAATTTTATGAAAAATAACTGTTTCTTCCCAAATAAATAAAAAAATATAGTGAGAAGAGTGTCATTTTTAACATTTTTTTGTGAACTTCTTTGGTGTCTGAGTTAAAATGGCTGGAGTCTCATTTCTGCTTCTTCATTGAATCTTTTACAACATCCCATGTCAGCCTCTGGAAAACTTGACTACATATTCAGAATGCTTCTGAAAAAGGCAAATTACACCTGAGTAATATTAAGAAAATAGTTCTGACTTGCTGATCCTCTGAAAGTGTCTTGAGGTCCTTCATAGGTCCCCAGACCACTCTTTAAGATCATTTCTCTTGGGCAAGATTAGCCTCATTATTAAGGCTAATTATGCATTAAGGTCTCATATATCTTTTCAAAACATGGTCTTTGTTGTTGTAGTCTTCAGTGAAAACTTTCATTTTAGCATCCTGTTAATGTTGATACAGAGGACATTTTTCACTTTTATACTAGGAACAAATATGGCAGAATATAGTTATTTATAAATATTTACTTCTGATTTAAACAAGTATGTGGACTCTGCTTATTTTATGTCTCAGCCTCCTGGTAATAATGTATCTGGCATGTTAAGAAGAATGATTAAAAAACATGTTTTTTAACTATTTTGTTCTTTACATTTAGCTTTAAATGTAAAGCTATCATCTATCACATATATTTAAGTTTTGTACCTTAGCATTTATTAGTTACTTCTATATAATGTAGTCACGTAGACATAGATTAAATGCTGGCTCTATGCTTTACTAGATGTGTAAACAAGGACTACATACTTAACCTGATGTGAACCTCAGTTTCTTCATCTGTAAGACACAGTAATGCTGTATTAGTTAGAAATCAGAACTTTTAGTAACAGAGCTTTTGATAATGGTGTTTTCTACAAAGTGGAAATGTATTTCTTCTACCTCTTGGTGTAAGAGGAGCCTGGCAGCCCAGGAGTGCTGTGGCAGCCCCACAGTGTGTTTGTGGACCCAGTTTCCTTCTCTTTTTACATTCCTCCATTCTTAGCTTGTGGATTGTATCCTCAAGGTTGTCTTATGGTGCAAGATGCCTAGTGGAATTCTATCCATCATGTCCATATCCCAGGTAGCAGGAAGGAGTAGATGAGAAAGGCAAAAGGGGCATGTTTTTCTTTTAAAGAAACCTTCTTTATTACACACTATCATTTTGTTTAAATCTTGCTGGCTGTAACTTAGTCATGTGGTCCTACCTAATTTTAAGGGAAATTAGATCTTTTAGCCAGATGTTAGGAAGAAAGAGGGGATAAAGGGATTTTAGGTTAGGCAACTAGGAATGTCTTTCACTAATGTCTTCCATTGGAATTTGATGGGTTCCAAACCAGATGAGAAATTATATATGCTCGGTATCTGTGGTAGCAGGAGGAGGCCAAAATACCAACTTTGTAAAACTGACAGAACTGATGTTTGAGAAACATAACTGCGTTCTATCTTCAGTCAAGTGTGTTTCCTGATATTGAACTCTAGAATTAAACTACCTTACCTATCCAGTTATACCATTAGACCAGGTAGCTTGTGCCTCTATTAAATTGGTGGCTTGAAGGAACAAAGCAAATATTTGGTTCTTGCCAGAAGCTCCTTCTCAGGAGAAAGGGTGTAGTAGTTGAAAGGATAGAGAGTGTTACGTACTTATTTCTGATGATGTAAGTAACACTTAACTCTTCCTTCTTCTCTCTGGCCAATATTTTATGCTACAAATATAGCATTATGCCTGGCATTTAGTGACTATTCACTATGTAGTGAGTATTATGATAATGATGATTTGAGCTACTGCCACTATATGTAATAGTCTGTATATTTAATCTTTTCACATACATTGCTAAAAAATAATATTAAATATTTTAAAAATTCATCATGAGATAAAATTGATAAATGGTTTAAAAAATTTTTACTCTGCCTTTTAATCATTTTAAACTGTGGGTCAGGTCACAGTTTCCTATGCAAATTTAATGAAACTATGTATATAGAAAATTATATGATTTCTGTGGCTACATGAATCTTATGATAACTCATGATTTAGATAAAATTTAAAGAACTACAATCACCTACCTATTACTGTAAACTCATATCAATGAGCTAAGCACAGTTAATTAAAAGGAAGTTTTGGTTAAGACCATGTGAGGTAGACAGACACATTTTTTTATTACAAGTGTGCCCTTCTACTGGCTTTTTGACCCTAAGCCAGTTATTAACCTGAGTGTTAGTTTTTTTTTTAATCAGAAAAACGGAGATAATAATAGTTCCTAATTTCACAACACTGATAAATAAATGAGACGATATATATAGAGCATTACTTCTAGGCCAGACACAAAATATTCACTTGCTCTTTGCTGTTACTGTTTTTATTAGCATTAGTGTTTTTAGTATTCTTTGCCTTTCTAACCTTGCCCTCATCAACTTGAAGGCAGCAAGTAAGTGTACCTGAATTTCACAATTTAGAAATATAATTATTGTGAGCAAAAAAACTTGATCCTTTAGATCTGCCTTTCTTTTCTTCCTTAAAAAAAATTATTCATCTTTGTGATCTTTGATCTCTCCACGAAAGATCATTTACTTCCTGCTTGTGGCTCACCAAGGAAAAAGGTCTTCAAAAATTTCCTGTCTTTCTTTGCTTCCTCTCCTGTCTCCTTCCTGGCTCAGCAGAAAGAGAAAGATGTCAGTTTGATACCTTTGGCCTCTTTTAAAAACCTGGTAATGTTATTTATGCTGTCAGCAGTTCCTGGGTATTTAATGTTTTACCTCTTGATCTGAGGAAAAGTCCTTAACTTTCCCTGTTCCTTTCTAATGAATAGCTGATGCTTCAGAAGTTTGGTCTCCACACTAAGAGCTACAGATCCCCTGCTGTTTTTATAGTCTGACTTTTGACACAGACTACTTCTGTTCAAGGAGCTCATTGTTACTAAGTTAGTGCCAGTTTATACTAGAACTTAACTTTTAAAGCACATGTAAATAGATTTCTTAATGGGTTTTTGGGTCGGCTTTTAAAATCATCTAGGTCTCCCCCCCAGCCAAATAGCACATTCTCATTCTGAAAAATTGTTCAGAAAATATAAAAATCATAAAGAAGAAAATAAAGATCTCCTATAGTCCCATCCCATGAAAACAGTCAATTTTACTATTTTTGGATAATTCCACCAGGGTCTTTTTCTATACACAAATATAGATTTACATGCCTTTAAAAATTTGTTGTTTTCCCTCAAATGTGATTCTTCTGTATATATTGTTTTGTAATATTTTTTCCTACTGTAACTATATTAGGTACATGATTATTTTGAATAGTTGTATAGCAGTTTGTTGAATGGATATATTGTCATTTATTTAATCAGTTCCCTACTGCCATGGATATTTAGGCTATTTTTAATTTTTTAATGATATAATCACAGGACAAGATTTTTCTGCATCTATTTTTTTCTCCAAGGCCAGCCTTCATTAGAAATCAATTTTTGAGTAATTGTGTTACCATATTTTAATGTGTTCTTAGAAGTTGAGTAAGTGGATCAAAGGATGTATTTCTACTAACTGGCGATGAGAGTACCTTTTTCTAATCAAATTTGAGTTTTGTCGGTCATAGAAATATTTTACATTATGATAAAACTAATATCTTTGTGTTTTAATTTCTCCTTTGATTATTAGACATTGAACATATTTTCATGGTTTTTTTTTGGCCACTTGCATTCTTTTCTGAGGTTAATTTGCTCTTATGTATTTCTTCTTTCCCTAGGATATGTATATTTTAAAATCAATAGCAAAAGAAAGAAAAAAAATCAATAGCAGAATTTTATTTCTTGCATTAAAACTAGGTTATTCTTTCTGTTTTTTTTTTTTTTTAAAGATAGTTTTCTCTTTGCTAGACTCAGTTTCTCACTTAGTTAGTTATTTTCAAGTATTAATATGGGAAATGAAGTAAGTACCTAGTAAAGGAAACCAAACTTATGAGAATAATTTCTTTGTCTAAAATACAAATGAAGAGGATGGTAATCCTTAATGCTTGTTTGCATGATAAAGTACCTAGTTTGGCTTAACTGATCCTTCTTTGCTTACATCTGGTTCTTGACCGTGTTCTACGTAGAAGATGTCTGTATAATGAAAAATTTTCTGGACCTATGCCTTTGTTTTTGATTTTTATTGTTGAAATAAAAAGACCTGAAAATGTTGATTCAAATACTCCCTTTAGCAAACTATGATTTTTAAAATCAGAAGATAAGGTGCATTGGAAATAATTTTTTATGATGAAGTACATGTTATTTTTACTTCATTGCCTTTAGAAGAAAAACAACAGTGAAGACATTATGTATTTATGCAGACTACAAATCTGATGAAAGCTATACTCCAAGCAAGATCTCAGTCAGAGTAGGAAATAATTTTCACAACCTTCAAGAAATTCGGGTATGTCTTTCAGATTTTTAAAAATATGCCGTCCTTTAACTTTTACTCGTTAGAAGATGGTCACAGTTGACATTACATTAGACAGGTTATAATATTAATATATAAAAGAAAAGTTGTTAATATTGGAGAAAACATGTTCGAGTGTATAATTTATTTTCTTTTGAATTCTGATTGTTCTCTTCATTTTTTCCACAGTATTTTATTGTGGAAATTATTAGACATACAGAAAATCTCAAAGAATTGTGCAGTGAAACCCCAATATACTCACCTCCTAGATTCTTCACTTGTTAATGTTTTGCTGTGTTTGCTTTATTACAATCTGTTCATTTAATTTTTTTGTGCATTTAAAAATAATTTGCTGGTGTTTGTCCATTTCACTCCAAATACCAGCCTGATGACATATTGGTAGAGTTATCAACATTTGCTTAATGTTCATTTTTTAAGATAAAATTTATGAACAATTTTGCATAATCGTAAGTATATTATTTGGTGAGTTTTGAGAAACACATACATTTATATAATCCCAACTCCTGTTAAAATATAGAACATTTCCACCATTCCAGAGAATTCTGTCATACCTGTTCCTAGTCAGTCTTCATCTCTATCCGACCCTTAGAAATAACAATTACACTGATTCTATTTATTGATTTTTTTAATCATAGATCCATATTGCCTGTTTTACAATGTCATATGAATGGAGTCATACAAGATATAACTTTTATGTAAGGCTTCTTTCACTCAGCCTAGGTTTTTTGAGATTCACTGATGTTGCATGTGTCAGTACTTCATTATTTTTTACTTCTGAGTTGTATTTCATTGTTCGAATGTACCACACTGTATTTATCCTGCATGACGTTATTAGCACAGTGCTTTAGTCCTGAAGTATTTGAGAGATGTTTTCAATGACTTTGAACTACATAATTGTGAAGCTCTGTTGACATTTTTTGGTCAGAAAATCATTAAGCCCAAATAATCATTAAAATCTGGTGGTTCTGAGAGATTTGGGAAGCACTTGTGATCTCAAAAGGCCTCCAGTTAATTTGTGGTCTTGGCTCTTATTCGATTTAGTGTTTATATTAAGGCTAGGTCTCAGCTGGGCGCGGTGGCTCATGCCTATAATCCGAGCACTTTGGGAGGCCTTGGCAGGGGATCACGAGGTCAAGGGTTTGAGACCATCCTGGCCAACGTAGTGAAACCCCGTCTCTCCTAAGAAAAATTTAAAATATTAGCTGGGCATGGTGGCAGGCGCCTGTAATACCAGCTAGTTGGAAGGCTGAGACAAGAGAATCTCCTGAACCTAGGAGGCAGAGGTTGCAGTGAGCCAAGATTGTGCCAGCCAGGGCCACAGTATGAGACTCCGTCGCAAAAAAAAGACTGTCTCTAAATTTATATTTCTTATCAGAGTTAGTAATAAAATACTTAATGCAAATCACATGTAGTTTCATTGTTTTCCTATTAAATCAGTGTTGTTCTCTTGCAATATTTGGATATGTACTGACAAAAAAGAACAGGTGAGGATGTTGTCCAAAGTATTCTTGTTGTCGTTTTGTCCGTTGAGATATTTATTTTTTAAAAAAAAATAAATAAAAATTGTATGTATCATGTACAGTACGATGTTTTGAAATATATATATTTTGTAGAATGGCTAAATCAAGCTAATTAACATATGCATGACCTCACATACCACTTTTTGTGGTGAGAAAAATCCACTCTCTTAGCAATCTTCAAGAATATAACACATTGTTATTAATATAGCCACTATGTTACATACTGGATCTCTTGAGTTTATTCTTCCTGTGTAACCAAAATTTTGCACCCTTTGACCAATGTCTCCCCAATTTGTCCCTCCACTGTAGCCCCTAGAAACCATCATTCTCCTCCTGCTTCTGAGTTCAGCTTTTTAAGATTCCATATGTGAATAAGATCGTGTTATATTTGTCTTTCTGTACCTGGCTTGTTTCATTTAACATAATAGTGTTCTCCACTTCCATCCACATTGCTGCAAATGACAGGATTTCCTTCTTTTTAAGGCTGTATAATATTTCATTGGGTATATATACCCCCCATTCATTTATTCATTAATGAATATTTAGGTTGATTCTGTATCTTAGCTATTGTGAATAATGCTGCAGTGAACATGAGAGTGTCATCTTGCTGACATCTGAACTCAAGCTTGTTACTTTGAGATGACTTTTTTGAAATGGAGTCTCACTGTCTTGCACAGGCTGGAGTGAAGTGGTGCAATCTTGGCTCACTGCAATCTCTGCTTCCCAGGTTCAAGCAATTCTCATGCCTCAGCCCCCTGAGTAGCTGGTATTACAGGAATGCGCCACCATGACCAGCTAATTTTTTCTATTTTTAGTAGAGACGGAGTTTCACTGTGTTGGCCAGGCTGGTATCGAACTCTGGCCTCAAGTGATCTGCCTATCTTGGCCTCCCAAAGTGCTGAGATTACAGGCGGGAGCCACCATGGCCGGCCCTTAGTTTACTTTAAAAAAACTTTTCTTAAAAATGAATTTCAGCTTCTGAAATGTTGAAAAATTTCCATGTTGTAAATTAGATAGTTTTAATTTAAAAACATTTCTTCATTTGTGTGACAGGCCATGCTGGTTGCTGTGTACTTCCCATGCTTGAATAGATTCATAAATAAATCAGCTCTTAGTTTTCTTCAATCCTTCTATTCACTCAGTGCTTTTAAAATTCAGAATATTGAAACTTTTTAAAATCATAGTCTTTTTTTTCTTTTTTTTGACGGAGTCTTGCTCCGTTACCCAGGCTGCAGTGCAATGGCCTGATCTCAGCTCACTGCAGCCTCTGCCTCCCGTATTCAAGTGATTCCCCTGCCTCAGTCTCCTTTGTATTTTTAGTAGAGACGGGGTTTTGCCATGTTGGCCATGCTGGTCTTGAACTCCTGACCTCAAGTTATCCACCCACCTTGGCCTCTCAAAGTGCTGAGATTATAGGTTTGAGCCACCGCACCTGGCCTCTTATTATTGGACCAATTGATAACCTTCCTCTAGTCACATATTTGATACATTTAATCAGTGTTTATTTCTCTGATGACATATTTAATTCTACTTTATTAAAAATTTCACATTATCAAATGATTGGATCACTCATATTGATAAGCTTTTTGTAAGTGGATGTGGCTTGTTTGGATTTATAACTAAAGGTTTGTCATATAGTTCATATATTGCAAGTGAAACACTAGCAATAAAATGTTTTGTTTTGATATAAGTGCTATATATTGGAAATGTCCACTAGATGTCACTGTTGACCTTTATTTTCTAGTTTCATAGCCTATTTGTAAGAAGTTCAAGACCTCAAGTAAACTTAGTTGTACTGGTTTTTCCGGGAGAATATACATTCAAGAACTCTTCAATGCATTTTTGGGAAATGTACATATTTATATGACATTTCTAGGTATTTGTATTAAGGATGTTTTGTATTCTGTTGTAAATTTTACTAACATTAAATAAGGATTTTGAGAAATTAATGAGAAATTCTAAGTGATATTTGGACCTTGTAAAATACTTTTAATCTAGTCTTTGCTTCTATTATGTCATTTAAGTGCTGAAACATTAGCCATATAGAAAAAGGGCCCTTATAGGTAGTCTCTTAATTTTTTCTAAGTGTGTTTATATTTCTGTTTAGTAACCACATAGCCTCATGAGACCAGTAATACAAAATATTACCAGGTGATAATGTGAGTTGTTTTCCTGAAAAACTTAATGAACATACTACTTTTCTGCCCCATAGTTCTCACTAAGGAACCATAATTTTTGAATGTTGCTTTAAATTATTAATGCCTGGCTTTTGCAGCTCATATGAATACTTTTATCTTTTAATTATATATCTTTGTATGAGATTTATACAATTTACCTTTTTTTCTTTGTGAGTTAAACAAATAAGAGCCTGATAGCACTTTGCTTTTAAAGGAAGATGAAGTAGATCATGATTTTATTTTTTTTGTTACTCTACCACAATATCGAAATATAAAAAAAAATCTTTACTGCATCTAACTCAGATACTAAAACAAGTGATTAAAATAGTGTGAACTTTTATGAGGTTTTTAGAGCCATCATTTCATTAGTTATAATACTGATTTAACTGAGTGGAAAATCCACCTAAGTCTTTTTATATTTTTCCATGGATGCTTGCCCACTGGAGGGTGTAGTGTAGTGTAGTTTTAATAGATTTTCCTTTTTTTTTTTTTTTTTAGAAATTATTTATTTTTTTACTTTTTATGCTTTAGAGACTTATTTTTTTGTAATTGTTGATTTGAAGTAGTAATTTCAAAAAATAGTCTAAGATGAGAAAAGCTAATAGCTGCCTTACTTATCAAAAAGTTATCCTTTTTCTATCCTGTTTATTTTCCTTCATTTTAGTTATGAAGCATATATTGTATCCAGATCTTTGTTACTTCTATTGATAACTCTTCACAAAGGCATCAGGCCCTTTCTTTAATAACCTAGAATGTGTATTTAAACCACGGTGTCTGAGGACTTACATTGAACTTTCTGCTGAATAGTCACAAGATTCTAAAACTGGATTTGGGCAAACAGAATATTTTTAATGACAAAATTGAAATTATTTGTGCTTCTCCTTCTACTTTCTTGTATTCAAAATATCCCATTCCACATAAATTGAAAACCAGCAATTTAAGAACAATTTATAAGATGTTTGCAATTTATTGCTTCTACACAAGAGACTATTTCTGTATAGAATTGACAATATAGAATTTTAGAGTCTACTTTGTCTTTCTTTGCAGAATGCTTCATCTTAGTTGGGTAACTTTTGTGCGTAAGTCATGTTATTCAAGAGAAAAATCAAGATGGTAGTTTTTAAATTCTTAAATCCTTTGCATTTTCGCAATATGTTTTGGTTTAATGTTGTTCTTTTGCTGTCAGAAGAGAAAATAATGTGTGAGATAAATTTTTCTTTTTGTTATTTACAGCAGTGGACCAAAGAACATTATATTTTAGATGTGACTATTATAG